CCGTCCCGGCTCTTCCCGAGGGCCCTGGTGACCGGAGGCCTTGCATGGAAGAGGCCGCCTTCGTGTGGAGCTGCGCGCGGTGGCCGATGTGGGGTCTTTGGGGCTCGGGTTGGGGCCCAGGCGGGAGGTCCGGCCTCCGGGTGATGCTCTGTCTCCCGGAAAGCCGCCCGGCACCCATCAGGTGGTTCACGAGCCGCAGCCCGAGCCGAGTCGTGGAGTTGGTGTCGTAGCGCCTGTGGCCGCATGGGGTCGCTGCTGGATAAGAAAAGGGCGCCCGGCAGGCCGCCTGGGGCGGCGGCTGCTCAACCCACAGGGCCTGGATGTGGGGCGACCGTCTAGTCTGGGCGGGGGAGGGTTTTTTCTTTTTTTGGGTGGGGGGAGGATCGGTTGTGGGGCCTGAGCTCTGGGCCTGGGCGCTGTCCCACAGCTCAAGGCTAGCACTCTACCACTTGAGCCACAGCGCCACTTCCGGCTTTCTCTGCTTATGTGGTGCAGAGGAATCGAACCCAGGGCCTAATGCATGCAAGGCAAGCGCTCTACCACTGAGCCACCTTCCCAGCCCTGTTAGTAAATTTTTGTTGTTGTTATTGTTAGTTTGCAATACTGGCCTTTGAACTTGGTCTCATTCTTGCTAGGCATGCAAGAACCAATTTATTTGTATATATGTTTGGTTATTTAAATGAATCAGTACATGGGTAAGATAATTCAGTAAACCTACTTTAGAAGATTTTTGAAATGCATTGCATAGTAGGTTGACCAGGTTGTTACTTCATCTTATTTGTTTGTCCTTGGGATCTGGATTTTAAAAAACCTTACATGTTACATTTTATCTCTACTTTTTGAGTCTTCTTCTCTACTGCTGTTACTTCAAGAAATGGAACAGCAGAGGCAAACTATTTGCATTGGTCCCTTCTGTAAGAGGTTGTAGTTCACTCCTCCTTTTAAGATCTCTTTTCCACTCTCATTTAGCATTAAGAATTGGCAGTGGCTGGGTGCCTGTGGCTCACACCTGTCATCCTAGCTACTTGGGAGGCTGAGATCTGAGGATCACGGTTCAAAGCCAGCCCAAGCAGGAATATCTGTGAGACTCTTATCTTCAATTAACCACCAGAAAACAGAAGTGGAGCTGTGGCTCAAGTGGTAAAGTGCTAGCCTTGAGCTGAAGAGCTGAGGGACAGCACTCAGGCCCAGAGTTCAAGCCCCATGACTGACAAAAATAAAAACGGAAGTGGTGCCATGGCTCAAGTGGTAGAGTGTTAGCCTTGAGCGCAGAGGCTCAGGGACAGTACCCATGCCCTGAGTTCAAGCCCCACAACCAAAAAAGTAAAAAAATTGGCAGTGAATCTGTAAATGCATTTGATCACATCTTGCCATTTTGGCTGAAACTATTCTTGGAGACTTCAGAAATAAAGACAACTTCAAACATCCACTTAGAAACAGTTCACTTTTTTTTTCCTTTTATTACACAAGCACAAAGATTCAAAGGTGTTTTTTTTTACTTTAAGTGAGGGCCAACCCTTTCCTTTTAACTTTTTATTTTGAAAATTTTATTTTTGTGTGTGTGTGTGCTGGTCCTGAGACTTAACACAGGGCTTGGGCTGTCCTTGACCTTTTGTAAAAGCTCAAGGCTAGCACTCTACCACTTGAGCCACAGCACCACCTCTGGCTTTTTTGAGCAGTTTTTATTGGAGATAAGAGTCTCACTGACTTTCTTGCCTGGGCTGGCTTTGAACCACGATCCTCAGATCTCAGCCTCCTGAGTAGCAAGGATTACAGGTGTGAGCCACTGACACCTGGTGCAATTTTATTTTATTTTTTATTTTTTGGGTCCGGTCATGGGGCCTGAACTCTGGGCCTGGGCGCTGTCCCTCAGCTCTTCAGCTCAAGGCTAGCGCTCTACCACTTGAGCCACAGCGCCACTTCCGACTTTTTTCTTTTTGCTTATGTGGTGCTGGGGAATCGAACCCAAGGCCTCATGCATGCAAGGCAAACGCACTACCACTGAGCCACCTTCCCAGCCCTACAATTTTATTTTTAAAGGAATGATTTTTAATGAGTTTCATTTGATTTGATTTTTAAATCAACTTGGTCATCATCCTCCCCTCTGTGCTAGACTACTCCTGAGTTTCCTGTAGTGCAGAAGGGCAGAGTTCAGAACACAGATAACTAGTGTGGTCAAGCAAGTCAGACACAAATCTCCTGAGGTTGAGTAAATCTCTGATTAAAACAAATTCAGATGTATTCACCCTAAATTTCTTTATGTACAGATACAGTCACTGAAGTTTCCAAGAAAGACAACAAGGTTGAGACAAATCATGATACATGTGCGGAGGAGAAGACTTTACCTCTGAGCAGGTATTGGCTCTTTTACTCTCTCCATTTCACTCCTCTGGCACAGTACCTAGCAGTAAGGGCTTCTCATCAGACTTGAAACTTTTTTGTGGTGTTGACAATCAAACCCACTGTTTTACATGCTAACATGTCTGCCATTGCTGCACCTCAGTTGCATTTTTATTTAACAGTATTTGTATTTGAGAAGTCTCCACAGCTTAAACAGACAAGTAGTAAGTTATAATTATTAGAATCAGAGTTTCAAGAAGCAAATGTTATTTAACCAATGAATAAATCACAACAGTAGTTGTTGGAATACATGTGGTGCTCTCAGATCTCAGACTTAGAGGAAGTAGCTTGGTGCTTAAAAACACTCTGGTTTGGTCTAGGAACTGTGGCACAAGCTTCTAATCATAGCTGCTTGGGAGGCAAAAATCAGGGCATCGAAGTTCAAGGCCAGCCTGAGCAAAAACAAGGTTTTGAGACTATATCCCAACCAATGGCTGGGCATGGTAGGACACGCCTGCCAGCCCAGCTACAGGGGAAGCACAATGGCTCCATGCAACGGCACACACCTGTCATCCCCAGCAGCCTACGCCGGCATGGACATAAAGCAAGACCCTATTTTGAAAAATAAAACAAGAAGGGGTTGAAGGCTTTGAGCGCAATGCCCATTGAAATGTCCAGAATATTAGAACATTTCAGATGACAGATTTTCAGAGTAGGAATACTCAACTTTTATTGTGACTTAGAAAAGCAATTTACATCTCAAAGGCAAAGACAATTCATTGCTTCCAAGAGAGAGTGTGAAGGATATCTGGTAAAACACAGAGAAGGGTTTCAGGTGAGTGTATGTCAGAGGTGATACAAAAGAGCAGAAATTCACTACAGGATTTTAAAAGGACATGTATGAATGTAGGAGAAAATCTAGAAGCTTCTATAAAATAGCTGAATAGCTGAGTGCCAGGAAGTTGAACATTGGTGACCAAGTTCATTAGCTAGCTAGGTATTTGGAAATGTCACTTACTTCTTAAGTAGATTACTGCCTTCAGGGGAAAGAGCATTAGCCAGTAGAGCCAACAAAGCATTTGTATCTTCTAGGGTCTAGTATTTTTTTTTTTTTGCCAGTCTTGGGGCTTCAACTCAAGGCCTGGGTGCTGTTCCTGAGCTTCTTATTCTCAAGGCTAGTGCTCTACCATTTGAGCCACAGTGCCACTTCTGGCTTTTTCTGAGTAGTTTATTAGAGATAAGAGTCTCATGGACTTTCCTGCTTGGGCTGGCTTTGAACCGCAATCCTCAGATCTCAGCCTCTTGAGTTGCTAGGATGATAGGCGTGAGCCACCAAAACCCAGCTTAATATACAGGCTTTAGAAGTTAAGAGATCACTTTTCCCCCCTCTGAATCTTGGGTCTCTGAAGGGTAGGTTAAAGCCCACAATAGCAACGCCACGGGGCTATGCTAGGCAGTGCTTGACAGTGCAGCTTGCTGTCACCTGCCACGACTTCCTGAGGTGGGTGGGGAACCCAGCATCAAGCACAGGCCCATTCCTTTGTCAGCCTGTCCTTCCACAGGTGTCTTGTGCTGTGTGTGTGTCACTCCAGTAGCCTCCAAATAGTTACTATACCTACCATTAAGTTGGGTTTGGGCTCGGAGGTCTTAGCCAATGATTTTTGTCATAAGTGGCCATTTACTGTGCCTTTTTATTTGACCCAATATAAAAGCTGAGGGTTTTTCTTGCCTAAGAGTACAAAGAAATGTTTGTCCCTACAGCAATATCCAATCCGCTTCTTTGAAATCGCAGCTTTTGCCAGTGAGCTGCCATACCCCTAGAAGTTTATGCCCTCTCACAGGACAGAGTAACCTGTGGTGTCCCAAAGAACCAGAGCTTAGGGAGGCAATGCAGAAGAGCAGAGATTCAGACCCGAGAGAACCTGCTTCTGATCTTGGGGCTGCATGAGTAGGCCAAATCCTCAGAGGGTGAGGGGCCCTGCCACTGCCTTAAGGGATCTCACAGTGGCCAGGAGTCTCCTGGGGCAGGCATGGGGCTGCAAGCTGACATGATAAAGGGACTGGCACACTTGTCCAACTGTATTAATTTTCTCTTTTATATCTGGGAGTTTATTTCTAACATGGAAAACGAAAGATTTCTCTATCCCATTTAAAGCTGTTTGAGATGTTTTAATAAAGCAATTTCTTTCAGAATACCTATTTCCATTGCAGCTTAGGAGAGAAGGGTAAAAATTCTTATGCTTTGAATATATGCCAGACTTCTAAACCAAAAGTATGTCTGCAGGTGACACAAGATAATTCAAATTAATTTTTACCTAAGACCAAAGCTCACAAGGGCTGAGCACGACTCAAGTCATAGAGTGCCTGTCTAGCAAGTGCGAGGCCCAGTACCTGCCCAAAGCAAAAACAAAACAAAAAGGAAAAAAAAAACCTAACAAAATATTTTATGGCTTTAACCAAGGTCTTCAGAAGAGGAAGCAAAAGGTGCAGCCTTTTCAAGACTCAGACCACTCGTAAAGATAGGCAAAAAGAAAGAAGAGCTTAGACAACGCAACAGTCGGTATGCTTGCTGCGAATGGGGCGCAACTCACATTTCTGTCTGGCCATTTTCTTGAGGTTCCCAGCCTTCTGGTTGGCCCCTTCACTAATAGGCCCCATAGGTGGACAAGGCAAACTGGAATACCACAGCTATTCGTAGAAATGAGAATCACTAACAAATGGGTACCCCAGTAGCTAAGAGTCATTCGCATTCAGAACAGATGTTTTACAGATGTTCTCAGCTTGTAACCAGAGTTTCAGGCCAGGGGCCCCACTCTGGAGGTTCCAACATGGCAGGTCCAGACACTCACTCAGTAGGCCAGTTAAAGAGATGAATGAATAGTAGTGAGGGTTAGGGAAAGGAGATCTTTGAGCATTTCAGCATCGGATATATGGAGAGGAGCAATTGGGACAGGGCACAGGTATGCATAATTAAGCAGTCCTGGAGCATTTACTATCTCTGCCACTATTGCAAGCGATGCCCAGATCCCAGGGGCAGCCTCATCACCGCAGGTCATTGTCCACAGTTTGGGGTGACCTGTCCCATGAGGGTCTACTGTTCTCTACAGTTTGTTACCATGTCATAAAGACATTATCTTGTTCTTGGAGTCCTGAGTAACTGCAGAGGAAAAGGGACATGCAAAATGGAGGCATGGATACCTAGATTTTATCCTGCTTTAGTGAGCTTATGGGCCCAAGTAAGGAGTTGGTGCTTTGTAGCAAAAGCAGTTTTAAGCGCAAGAAATTTACTAAGGAAATGAAGCTCCAATCAGAGGAAGGGACATTCAAATGATGGCCCCAAGATCTGAATGATCTGGTTTAAAGGATTATTTATTCTAACCCTGACTTCTATGTCTCATTATTTCACATCTAAGACTATAGACTATTGATTTCACATAGACAAGAACTAGTGCTCATGCATTCTCTCCTGTTCACACATTCGAAAGGGAAGCAGACAGCCGTGCTTGCCAGCTTTCAAACGACACTTCATACAACATCTGGGAGAGCAGACTTTGGGGTCTGGGAGAGTGGACTTCGGCAAATGTGCTTTTCTTTGCTGGCTTTTTTGTCACTTTTACCAGGATTCCACTTGCAAGCTTAGGAATGAACAGAGATTTTACTCTTCTGCCTATGCCAAAATTGCAGAGTAATTCAAGCTTGCCCTCTGAAGGTTTCATCGAGTCTGGTGAAATAAATTGACAAAGGCTAACAGAAAAGGCATACAGACTTATTAATATGCAAGTACACAGGACTTACACAAAATAAAAAACTCAAAGGACCATATAATTGAACCCTAAATGTCTCCATGTGGGGGAGGAAAGTGGGAGAATGTAGGCAGATATGAAGGAAAAACACGTTTTTTTTTGTCGGTCTTGGGACTCGACTTCTGGACCTGAGAGCGCTGTCACTCAGCTCTTCAGCTCAACGCTAGCGCTCTACTGCTGGAGCCACAGCGCCACTTCTGGTTTTCTTTTCTTTTTTGGTCAATCGTGGGGATTGAACTCTGGGCTTAGGCGCTGTCCCTGCGCTCTTCAGCTCAAGGCAAGCGCTCTACCGCTTGAGCCACAGCACCACTTCTGGTTTTCTAGTGGCTTATTGGAGATAATAGTCTCTCAGACTTATAGTCTCTCAGATAATAGTCTCTCAGATAATAGTCTCCTGCCCCCGCTGGCTCTGAACCACGATCCTCAGATCTCAGCCTCCTGGGTAGGTAGAATTACGGCGTGAGCCACTGGCACCCAGCGCTATTATTATTTTTGTAGGTTGTGTGGCTTGCATTCAGGGCCTGGGTGCTGTCTCTGAGCTCTTTTTTGCTCAAGGCTAGTGCTCTACCACTTTGAGCCACAGCTCCTCTTCCTGTTTTTGAGTGTTTAATTGGAGATAAGAGTCTCGTGGAGACTTTTCTGCCCAGGCTGTCTTTGAACTGTGATCCTCAGATCTCAGCCTCCTGAATATAGGATTACAGGCATGAGCCACCAGTGATGCCTTAAAAAAGATCTTTTATTAGTGTGTACTATTGGAAAGGGAGGTTTAATTATGACATTTCCATGCATGCATACAATGCACACTATCAAACTCATCACCACCATCATTCTCCCTGATGCCTCTTTCTCCTTGAAACAATTCCAAGAGGTTTCATCCTTTTTTTTTCCCCTCACTTTTTTTCATGCACATTAATTGAACAGGTTCCACCATGGCAACTGACATGTGTACAGTAGGCTTTTTTTTTTGCCAGTTGTGGGGCTTGAACTCAGGGCCTAGGTGCTGCCCCCTAGCTCTTTTGCTCAAGGCTAGTGCTCTACCACTTTGAGTCACAGCTCCACTTCTGGTTTTCTGGTGGTTAATTGGAGATAAGAGTCTCATGGGGACTTTCCTGACTGGGCTGACTTTGAACCAGGATCTCTTATATCTCAGCCTCTTGCATAGCTAGGATGACAAGCGTGAGCCACCAGCACCCAGCTATAATAGTTTTTTTTTTTTTTTTTGCCAGTCGTGCGGCCTGAACTCTGGGCCTGGGCGCTGTCCTTCAGCTCTTCAGCTCAAGGCGAGTGCTCTACTACTTGAGCCACAGCGCCATTTCTGGCCTTTTCTGCTTATGTGGTGCTGAGGAATCGAACCCAGGGCCTCATGCATGCAAGGCAAGCACTCTACCACTGAGCCACCTTCCCAGCCCTAAGTTTTTTTTTAAGGGTAACTTCCGATTTATTGGAAAATGATTGTAAAGCACAGAGCCTCCATAAGTTCCTTCCTACCCCAGTCCCTGTTGTTCACTTATTTTATTGGGGCACAGTTGTTAAAACTGATTAAATATTAAGTTCATAGGTGACACGAGGGTTTACTTTTGTATTATACTTTCTATATATTTTTTAAAGTGATGTATATCCACTGTTCTGTAATTCACAGTGACTCCACTGCTCCGGAAATCTATTATGCCTCATTGATTCATCCCTCTCTCAACCTCCGGTCCCTGGAACTAACAGTCTTTTTATCAGCTCCACAATTTTGCCTTTTTGGAGTGTCATACTGTTGGATACATGCCATAGCCTTTTCAGATTAGCTTCTTTTCATGTAACAATATGTGTTTTACATCCCTCATTTCTTCTTTTTTTTTTTGCTGGTCCTGGGGCTTGAACCCAGGGCCTAGGCACTGTCCCTGAGACTCTGTGCTCAAGGCTAGAGCTCTACCACTTGAGTCACAGTGCCATTTCTGTCTTTTCCTGAGTAGTTTATTGAAGGAAAGAGTCTCCCAGACTTTCCTGCTTGGCCTGTCTTTGAACTGTGATCTTTAGATCCCAGCCTCCTAAGCAGCTAGGATTACCAGTGTCTAACCTTCCTTATACTTCTTTCTTTTTAATGTGGAACTCCTCCTTTTTAATTTATTTTGTGCCAGTCCTGGGTCTTGAACTCAGGGCCTGGGCACTGTCCCTGAGCTTCTTTTGTTCAAGGCCATAGCACCACTTGTTGCTTTTGCTTTTTCTGTATATGTGGTGCTGAGTAATTGAACCCAGGGCTTCATGCATGCTAGGCAAGCACTCTACCACTGAGCTGCTTCCCCAGCCCCCCTCATATTTCTTAATGACTCAACAGCTAATTTTTTTTAAAAATAATACTCCATGGTGTGGATGTACCAAGTTATTTATCCATTTGCCAACCAGAGGACATATTGAAAACTTCCAGGCTTTAGCAATTATGAATAGACATAGGTCTTCAGGTCATATGGACAAATACCAAGGTGTGGCTGCTGATCTATTGTAAGGTTATGTTTACTTCTATGAGGAGCTGCCAAGTTGCCTTGAAAACCATTGCACTGCTACTGCATTGAATGCGTCTTCTCTCACTCTGCATCTTCCCCAGCATTTGGTGCCCTCAGTGTCTGGGTTTCAGCCATTTCAGTAGGGTATAAGGGAATGTCCTTATTTTAATTAGCAATTCTGATGATATTATATATTTTACTGAGCGTGCGGCTTGAACTCTGGGCCTGGGCACTGTCCCTGAGCGTTTCAGCTCAAGACGAGCACTCTACCACTTGAGCCATAGCGCCACTTCCAGTTTCCTGGTGGTTCATTGGAGATAAAAGTCTCACTGACTTTCCTGCCCAGGCTGGCTTTGAACCACAATCCTCAGATCTCAGCCTCCTGAGTAGCTAGGAAGAAGGCGTGAGGCGCTGGCGCCCGGCTTATTATTGATTTTTTTTTAAAGAGTTCTTTGTGTATTTTGGATGCACATCCTTCAGTAAAGGATATGTCTCCCAGTCTGTGATTTGTCTTTTCTTTTAAGTGTCTGAGATATAGAACAGAAGTTTTTCATTTTAATGAAGTCTAACAACAATTTATAAGGATTGTGCATTTAGTGTTGTCTTTAAAAAGTACTTGACAAACACAAGATTCCTTAGATTTCTCTCCTATTATAACTTTCAAGTTTTACGATTTTATGTTTTACTGTTATACCTATGATCTATTTTAACTTTTGTGAAGGATGTTAGGTATGTATTGAAATTCATTTTTCATACATGGATGTGTACTTGTTCCAACACCATTTGTTGGAAAGATTCTTTCTAAACTGGATTGCCCTTACATTTTGTAATTTTTTTTTTTTTTTTGGTGGGCTGTAGGGTTTGAACTCTGGGCTTGGGCATTGTCCCTGAGTTGTTCAGCTCAAGGCTAGTGCTCTACCACTTGAGCCACAGCACCACTTCACGTTTTCTGGTAGTTAATTGGAGATAAGAGTCTCACAGACTTTCCTGCCTGGGCTGGCTTTGAACCATGATCCTCAGATCTCAGCCTCCCAAGTAGCTAGGATTATAGGCAAGCCACCAGCACTTGGCTACATTTTGTATTCTTAAGGAAAACAACAGAAGACTGATTGTCTAGCTTTGGTATCTGGCTAGATGACAGTGACACTAAGACTGGGATTGTGGGATGAATAGGTGTGAGCAGGGAGGATAGTGAATTCATTTTAGATTGGCTGATTTGGAAATATCTCTGACATTCAGGTGTTATCAAAGAAGAAGAATCTTTTCCTAGACCTTAGGAGTATGAGCAAATGAAAGATCATTGAATTCAGTGCCACATATATTCAGCAATTAGGTCATTTGTCTAGATGTTAACAGTCCGTGCTGAAACTCAGCCTGACTTACTCCACATTTTTCCTGCTGCACAGGGAGGCCTTCTCTAGGACCTTGAGGAGCGCCTCAGAGAGGCTTACTGATGCCCTTGAAGCCTTAGCTTGTTCAACCCTGCTGTCATTCAGTTTCTAGCATTTTGTCAACATGATGATTTTTTTTTTCTATATCAAATACTGTTTGGGATTTAGAAGAATAGGACCCCATAACAGTTTTGGGGTAGAGAAAATAATCTGTTCATTTAATCCTCTTTCAGTCTGGAAGGTAAGGTCAAGGAGACAATACACAATGACTTTTGGGACCACCTTAAAGAGCAGCTATCAGCTACGCCTCCTGACTTCAGTTGTGCTCTTGAACTTCTGAAAGAAATTAGAGAGGTAAGTGATTCACTTTCCACTGGTAGATGTAAAGTGCCTGTTCATCCCCAGCTGTTGGAGGGCAGTGGCTAGCAAATCCTAACTGAACTGGTCTAGGAATCAGTAAGACAAATCAGACAATAACAGGGAAGATTTAACATAAAATTCCAGCAGGAAATTGCAGAAATGAGGACTTGCCTAATAAGGAGGAAAAAAAGTCTCTAAAGAAATCTGGAATAGCAAATAGAAAGGGGTATCCACTGTACTTTGGGGACTGAGAGAAAGTACTGGCCATCACTGAGAGAGCACACGGTGCCAGGGGAGGGGCTGTCTGTGAGCTGCTGACCACCACCCATGGCAGAAGCAGAACTGGAGAAACTCACTGCAGGAGTTAGTTCTAGTGAAGCCACAGAACTGCAGGCTTCTGCTAGTAAGTACACAGGAACCAACATGAAGAGCTCTAAGCCCTCTCCAGTGTTTCTAGTATTGGTGACCCACAGCAATCTCTATACCCGTGTATAATCGTAACCCTTTAAGTCTGGACAAGACTTGCAACTTAAACCACTACAGCATATCAAAGGTGATGAGATGTTAGTCCCATAATTAATTTCCTTATCAAAAATCATTAAAAAAGAAACCACAAAGCCAAATACCTCTATTTCTAGCTAGTAATAGAGCTATCTGCCTTCTAAGCTCTCATCTTTCTCCAAACTGAGCCCCATTGCCCACACAGTTTCTGTGTCCATCACTGCTGCCCACCCCCATTCAATCACAGAGCCACAGAAGAACCTGTTACCTGCAGACTAAAATGCAAAGTTAATTTCCAACTTGTGTATGAAATAATTGGAAATGAACTTAATGTTTAATATACAATAAACATAAACAATTTATAGTTCTATTTTTTATTTAATTGGTCACAAAGCTCTAATATCTGTAGTACCCTCCTTCCTCTGTTCATTCCATCCATATTTCCTTTGTCCTTAGTCCAAACCCAATTAGATGAGCTACTCAGGAGACTAAGAAACCAGGATTGCAGTTCAAAGCTAGCTTGGGCAGGAAAGTCTGTGGCATTCTTACCTCCAATTAGCCATCAAAAAGCTAGAAGTGGGGCTGGGAAGATGGCTCAGTGGTAGGTAGAGTGTTTGCCTTGCATGCATGAGGCCCTGGGTTCAATTCCTCAGCACCACATAAACAGAAAAAGCCGGAAGTGGCACTGTGGCTCAAGTGGTAGAGAGCTAGTCTGGAGCTGAAGCGCTGAGGGACAGCATTCAGGCCCAGAGTTCAAGCCCCACAACTGACACCCCTCCCCCAAACAAAAAAGCTAGAAGAAGTGGAGCTGTAGCTCAAGTGGTAGCCTTGAGCACAAAAGCTTAGGGATAGCACCCTGGCCCTGAGTTCAAGGTCCAGGACTGGCAAAAAAAAAGTTTTAACTTTGATGAAGTCCAATTTATCTCATTTTTCTTTAGTGTCTTGTGTTTTCACTATAATATCTTGCCAAATTCAAGACTACAACTATCTACTTCTATGTTTTCTTCTAAGTATTTCATAGTTTTCACTCATGTTTAGGATTTTGATCCATTTTGAATTCTATGATTTAAGGTAAAGGTGCAACTTCATTCTTTTGCATGTGGATTTCTAGTTTTTCTAGCCTTGTTTAACCCTGTGTTCTCTATTAAGTCATCTTGGCTTTGTTATTGAAAAATCATTTGCCAACATCCAAGTTTTATTTCACAGCCTTCCTGTCTTATTCCATTCTGTCTCCTTTGCCAGTTTCAGTAACTGCTTCATTGCTTATAGCCCTTTTATATTAGATGATAGATGGCTGCTTATCCAGTCTTAGCCTACTGGCTAGGTATATTAAACACTGCGTAACAGGAAGCTCAGGTCATCATACAGTGGTTAGTTCAGGTCACGAGGTATTTACTTTCTACCAAGGCCTTTTTATTAAGAAATCAGAAGCTGTTTTTCCAAAATCTTTTGAAAATCTAGAGGTGTGCGTTATGATTCCCTTATTGGTGCTTATAAGACACTCTGCACACAGCCTTAATTTCTATGGACATTGCACAAATTGCTGGATCTGCTTGATCACAAAGCCCAAGATGATAGAATGGCTGGGCTGCATTTCAAGGTGCCGCAGAGTGCTCTAGTACTTACTTCTAATCTACAACTTTATCCCAAGCGAGACAGTAGAATAGCAAGCTCACTTTTTGGTGAGAATGCAAAAGGCCTATCCAGTATTGTGCCATTTTTTCATGGTATGTAGTTTAAGCCCGTCTTCCAACTTGGAGGGATTGTTACCTTGATATGCTCCAGACCACTGACATTCCAGAAAGCACCAGGGTACAGGCCTCTGGAGCTCATCTGCTCCCCTCTTTTTATAGCATCTACAGTACTTTCTACCTATTGCTCATCAGATCCAATGCATATGTGACCATGGACTTCTAACCTTCTACCAATTGTATCAGTTTGTGAATCAGTCATAGTACAATCAAGAAGCAGAAACCACACAGTTTTTTGAACTAAGAAAAACTTGCATGATATAGGAACTTGCTGATCAGCATACACCAGAGCCAGGAAAGAGAGCTCCCTTCTTATGGAGGAGCACCCTCTGCAGATGAATGCGAAGGCCTTGTGCCAACCAGCTCTACTGCAAGGGGCCAATGCCATTTTCACAAAGTAGGCACTGAAGCATAGACATGGAACAGAGAGGCACTAAATTTGTCACTGTCATAGCTTACCAACTGAATAGATATTATGGAGCAACTTTCATTGCTAAATGTTATCTTGGCTGTCAACACACTAGTCCAGTCAAGCCTTCGTTGTACCTGTTATGGAACTACAGAGTTCCTGTTTATCAGGAGCCTGTATTCTGAGGTTGACTCATTAAAACTGCAAGGCCTGGCTCACCTTTGTCTTCTGAAATAAAATGATCTAAAAAAATACCTCGCTTTTAAAATGAAAAGATTTCATCACTATCATACATTTACATCTGTTGTACCCTACACTCATTTTTACCACACTTCTCAATTTTATCAAGTTTTAAGAATCTCATTCTTTCTAGAAAACAGTATACTATTTTATGTAATTGATCCTCTTAAACTTTTATCATTGGCTCCTAAACACAAGGAAAAATCTTCTGTAGGAAATTTAGGAACCTACACTCTGAATCCTCGGAATGTCTTGTAGCTAAAAGGGTTGCCCACTAGAGCAGATTTGGGGCTCTAAGCAGAATGCATCTCCCTTTATCTTTCCTGGGCAGATCTTGTTGTCACTGCTATTACCACGCCAAAACCGCCTAAGAACTGAGATTGAAGAAGCTTTGGACATGAATTTCCTCCAGCAGGAAGCCGAACGTGGAGCCTTGAATGTCGCTTACCTTTCTAAGTACATTCTCAACGTAATGACTTTGTTGTGTGCACCAGTTCGAGATGAAGCAGTGCAGAAACTTGAGAACATTACAGACTCAGTTCGGCTATTGAGGTATGAAACTTGATTATTTCCCCTGAAATCCACCCCAGTCTCTGGGGTTGTGAAAAGCTGGGTCAGATACTATATTATAACCATAGTCACAACTAACTCTTCCCTGCTGTGAACCAGACAATACTGCTGTGATCTTCCCTGGCTTATTTGAGTTTTTTCCCCTTCTTCTTTTCCAAAGATGAACTTTTCAAACAGGGTATTTTGGTTATCCTTAGAAAAAAAAAGCTGGTCCAAAGAGCCAGGAGAGACATCACCTACAGTCCAACCTCCCAGCGAGGACTGCTGATGTACTGGTGTATTGCTGCCTCTGGTTATCCCTTTTAAGAGACAGGCAAGCTCTGCAGTGAGACTTAGCAGATACTGTTGTGCCACTTAAACGCATCAGGATCATGGACCCCTCGTCAGCTTTGTCAATGAAGGGTTAGAACTAAGTCAGCTTGGAAATCCTTCCCTTCTAACAATGATTTAATCACTGGTGTGGGTTTTTCCCCTCACAAGGTTTTTCTGTTATATTCTCTTCCATGTCAGGGGGATATTCCAAGTTCTCGGTCTGATGAAAATGGACATGGTGAACTACACTATCCACAGCCTCCAACCCCAGCCCCAGGAGCATTCCATCCAGTACGAGCGTGCTGTGTTCCAGGAGCTCCTCAACGAGCAGCCTAGTATGTTCACTGTGAGGGCAGAAGTGGGAAGGGGTGGCCTTGCATATGACTCCTGAGAGGATTCTGAGCCTCTTCAAGAATAGAAAGTGTCACTAGACACTATGTCCAAAATGAACTATAGAGCCTGTGGATGAGGACAGGAGGGAAAAACTGGGAAAGGGTAACATTGTCCAAAAAGAAATGTACTCTTTACCTGACTGATGTAACTTAACTGTAACCCTTTTGTACATCATCTTTATAATAACAATAAAAATCAGTGTGTTAAAAAATAAATAAAAATAGAAAGTTTTTTCCTCAAGTCAGGACAGGGAGAAGGAAGATCCCAAACGTGTATTAAGCAGGAGTGTATCCTGAGGAGAAGGTGGCCTTGAATCCCCGGAGATCAAAGATGCTGAAGATGCTCACACATATCCTCCCTGTCCTAGGCCTCCTCAATCACACCACCAAATGGCTGACCCAGGCAGCAGCAGACCTCACTGCGCCACCAACCTGTCCTGATGCTTCCGACTCTGCCAATGCAGCTGGCCCCTCTCCAAATGAGGCAGCCAATAACCAAGAGCCTCTCAACCCTGCAATGGTGTTGTCCCAGGGCTTCCTGAACCTCCTTCTCTGGGACCCTGCAAATGAAGAGTTCCCTGAGGTAGGAAGAAGGGAGGATTTGCCTTTTGATGTCTTCAGGGCTCCAATCAGGCCTCTCCCCACAGCCTCCTCTTCCCTGATCCACAGACCCTGTTGACAGATAGAACCCGGCTACAGGAGCTAGAGTCTCAGTTGCACCAGTTAACCATCCTGGCGTCGGTCTTGCTAGTGGCCAGTAGTTTCTCTGGAAGTGTCTTGTTTGGCTCACCCCAGTTTGTGGATAAACTGAAACGCATCACTAAGTCCCTCTTGGAGGAATTTAATTCCAGGTAAGCTGCAGAGATTTTTTTTTTTAACTTGAAGTGGTATGTAGCATTTAGGAAGTAAGCACAAAATGAATTATTGCTTGCTCTCCACTATAAACCACAGAAAGGCCCTTTGAACTACTGACAGTGAACGTTGGTTTCTTTCCATAAGTGATCTTAGGCTTGTGAAAAAGGTAGGCTTTCTAAGAAAGGTAGTATAGAGGATGGTTTGCTGCCAAGAGTCATTATTAGCTGGAGGGAGGATGGAGGGCTGGATGCAAGAGCAGTCTGTCAGCACTATTGATCGAACATCTAGTAAGCGCAGGTCATTTAACAAAGTAAGAAGAATCAGAGCTGATGATATAGCTTGGTGGTCCAACACTTTCTAGCATGTGTCAGGCCCTAGGATTGATTCCCAGGACTTCAGAAGAAAAGAAGGCCAGGTTTGTAATCATAATTGGCCATGTAGTACAAATGACCATGGAAAATCTTAAAGAACCAAAGAATACTAAATGGGTCCTAGGGCAGAATGAAGCCATTTTCCAGAATTGGCTTATGGTTTATCTTCATTTTTAAGAAGGACATGGCACCATGTAGAGAGAACAGTGGGTATCAACTGAAGACATAGCTGCCCAATGGGTCCTGCTGCTGGCCGTGGGTCAGGGGTTGGGACTCTTCTTTCGGGTGGGCCTAACCTTGGTGTGTAGCTTCCTGAGTGTCCGTGCATCTGTCAGGACTACATATCGAGTGCCAGCTTATTCCCTTTCATAATCTAGGCCGGAGGAGGCTATGCAGCGTGTGAGTGAACAGGTGTCTCAGGAAATCCACCAAAGCCTCAAGACCATGGGTCTTGCTGCTCTGAGCAGCGACAGCACAACATCTCTGATAGGACAGCTCCAGAATATTGCCAAGAAGGAGAACTGTGTCCGTAGCGTCATTGGTGAGTGCTGTGGGTGCTAAGAACATGGGAGGGATCCCAACCCAGGAAGCCAGTTACTGAGCAATGAAGTCACCGTTTTGCTGGGTTAAAAATATATGCCTTTCAGGTCAAATGGGGGTATATCTGACTATGGTTTTGAGGAAGATTCATAATCAGGAATTTGTGCCCTCTGGGTGTGAGATACTGTCCAGCTAACCTGGTTAAGACACTCTGGCCTACTGACTTCAGTCCAAGAAATCCCTTTATCCCCCTGTTCAAACAAGGAAGGGAGAACCATAGCAGTTAACTTTCCCATGCTGGAATATACCCACATTAGACACATTAGAATAGAGACCATGAACATGGCCAGCTTGCCCTGAACCTCAGCCTAAGAGCCTCCTGTTAATGAAAATCCTAGTATCTGCTGCCTGCTTTAACAATCTTGAATTCTCAGAAATTTACTAGTCCACTAGTTTATCTTTTTTTTTTTTAAATATTTTTGCTTTGTCATTGATAGCTTCTTTGCCAAACAGAGCAAGTTTTCTTTTCCACGAGTGAATGCACAGGTTGATGAATATCTCAATTTACTTAGAACAGGCCTGAGTGGAGTTTAGGGCCAATGTTTTTCCCTGAAATCTGTGATCCCTTTCCCTTCTCATTGTCTTTTCCTGCTTACAGATCAGCGGATCCATTTGTTTCTCAAATGCTGCTTGGTTCTTGGTGTGCAGAGATCTCTGTTAGACCTTCCTGGAGGCCTTACTCTCATTGAAGCAGAACTAGCAGAACTGGGCCAGAAGTTTGTCAGCCTCACACATCACAATCAGCAGGTGTTTGGTCCCTACTACACTGACATCTTAAAAAACCTCATCTCCCCAGCCCAGGCTATGAAAACCAAGGTGGAGTCTCTCTGATATTACTGGCTCGGCACTCTGGCACCTTGGATCCAGGAGGAAAGCCCATCATCTTCCTGGGTAACATCGCCAGTGACCAGCAAAGCAGTAATTCCCCCACTTGCCCCCACCAGTCAGCACATCAGGGTTGTAGAGATGAAGCATATGAACAATTGGCACAAACCTTCTCCCTAATAAACTTCTGAACTGCAAGCAACATCCATTCTTAGTGTGCTGCAGCTGAGCCAGGCTTTCACATCAACCCACAGCCAGATAAGAAACCAACAAGCCCTCTCTGGCCATGTGCACACAATTATAACAACCAACACACAGGTGCCAGCGCTGGGTTTTCCAAGGGTAAAGCATTTGAGTGCTCTGCAGAGTTATCTAAAATGTGAGTACAGGGCTTCTCAGCAAGCCTTTTGCTGTCCAGTTATCTTAGGAGAGGACATGGTTAAATTAGTTACGAAGCTCATTCCAGGACTGGATCCCCTGAGGTTGCAGGTGCCACATAAAGGAATAGGAAGAACTTGAGCATGTTCTTTGGTCCAAAGTAGTGTGCAGCCTGCAGGCAGGAGGGAAATAGATGTATGCAGCCATTCTGTTCTGTTGAGGATGGGTTCCAGTGTTGGGATCTCTCTCAGATTAGGCAGAGTTCATTCAGTCAGCAATGAACTCGACTTAATTTATCCCTGGTCCGGTTCCCTAGCCTAGTAAGCCTCCTGTTCTTTTAGTCTTTTAGTTTTGAGCATCTTGTTCAAGGCAGAGGACTGGTTCACGCCTTCACACTCCCTCCTGCTGCCAGCACAGGCAGTTGTGGTGGTGATGTCACAGAGGTCAAGAGAGAGACATGCTGGGAAAGACCTGGACTGGACTCCTCTCTGTACAGTTCTAATCCAGTGTTTTCAGGCTGCCTCCACAGACCAGTCCAACGTAGTATGGTTTACACTAGGAAAATGTCTGATCCGGATTGGGTCCTTGTTTATAATGGACAAGAAAATGTAGAGACTCATTTATATATGTTCTCCAGGCAAGGTTAAGAAAAATAATGTCCTCACTGTTTTTAGGAGATGGAAGTTGCTGAGACTTAACACAATTTAGGAATGACATAAGGAGGGAGTTGAGTTCCTTAGGCCCAGGACTTTCTTCTAATATTCACTTTTAAAGCGAAGGTCCTAGACAAATGACAGAGCAAGGTCAGCAGAATGTGACCAGCATGCTAGAGGACATGGATCATTGACACTTTATAACTGGAAATCTGGAATGGGGACGCCCAGAGTAAGTGGTATGCTTAAAAAACAGGTTTGGCTAGGTGGATCCTCTGATTTGAATTTTTTTAAAGTCCGCATTTGGAAGCTTCAGTGTCTTAGAGGCAAATGCATCTCTGTGAAGATGCCTCTCCGGAGGTGCAGACGCTACACTGGTAACAGAACCGCGCTTTGCACTTCATAATTAAAATCGGGAGTAATCAACTTACTGATTTTGAGTTGGTTTTCCTTGTCCTTCCACATGGAAAAGGACAGGCATTCTAAATAAGCAGAAACAGGACCATTTGACCCTGCCCACTGATACGAGGGAATTTTAAATTGTGTTTATACTAAATTGCGCTAAAACGAATCTACCCTGAAGTTTGCCACTAGTGATGTTTAGTCCATTCACAGCTGGCACCAGTATCACGACTATTTGGTCTAGAACCTTCTCATCACCACTGAAAGAATCCCACTCCAGCTCCTGGCCCCAGCAATCTGCTGTCTTGGGTTTTCTTATACTATATATTTCATATAAATGGAAATATAACATGTAGCTTTTAATGACTGGCTTCGTTCACTTAGTTTTTTTAAATTAAGAAATTACAATTTTACATGAATATTTAAATGGTATAAGGAAAGGGTATGACTTTACTCATTTGCATGTAGAAAATTTTCCCAGCACTATTGAGACTGCTTTTCTCCTACCGAATAGTGTTGATGATATCCTTGTCAGCAATGAACTGACTGGCTAGGCAAACTCGGTTAACACAAAACACAAAATCTACCCTCCCTCCTTCCCTCTTTTCCTCTCTCTTAGAAATAAGTCATCAGGGCTGGGTGCTAGTGGCTCACACCTGTAATTCTAGCTATTCAGGTAGATGAGATTTGAGGATCATGATTTGAAGCCCAAACAGGAAAGTCCATGAGACCCCTGTTGCAAATTAATCACCCAAAAGTCAGAAATAGAAAAAGCTACCAGAAGGCTCCGGAAGAATGTGGTGCTGATCCCTACCACCACCATGGTGAAGCTCTCACATTCCTGCTCCTCACCACAAGTGAATGGCCTTTACAAACCCGGAACCTAGATCTGTAAATCAGAGAAAGATCACAACACTTATGAATAAACAAAACAACATGCCGCTCCCAAAATCCAACAACAACACAGGGGAGGACTTGGAGTGAAGAAGAATGGGCAAACTAATCATTGAATGGGCTGGGAAGGTGGCTCAGTGGTAGAGTCCTTGCCTCACATGCATGAGGCCCTTGGTTTGATTCCTTAGCACCACATATGCAGAAAAAGCCAGAGGTGGCGCTGTGGCTCAAGTGGTAGAGCGCTTGCCTTGAGCTGAAGAGCTGAGAGACAGCGCGCAGGCCCAGAGTTCAGGCTCCCAGGACCACCAGCCCCCTGTCCCCCCCAAATATAGCCTAGGTTACACAAAGAGCTTGAGCAAACAAAAAAGAAAGCTGATGTAACTCCCTGTTTCCGATCTGATCACAACAGAATTAAACTAGAACTCAACAGCCAAAGATACTACAGAAAACAAACACATGAAGACCAAACACACTGTTCAGTAACAGCTAGGTCACTGAAGAAATACAAGAAGAAATCAGAAAGTTCCTGCAATCCAATGAAAATACAACATACCACAGCCTCTGGGATATAGTAAAAGCAGTGCTGAAAGTGCGTAGTTAAAAGGGCCTACAAAAAGAGGAAAGATACCACTCAAGTAAATCACTTGTAAATTACTCAGTAATTAACTACTAAAGCTAGAAAAACAAAACCCCAAATTACTAGATGGAGAGATAATAGTAAAGATCAGAGCAGAAATGAGTGAATTAAAAGACTGAAAAATTACATGCACTTTCAATAAAAACTGGTTCTTTGAAAAATAAAATTGACAAACCCTTAGCTAATTTGACAAAAAAAGAGACCCAAGTCAACAAAATTAGTGATGAAAAAGGAAACCACTACAAACATTCAAGAAATCCAATATATTATGAAAGATTATTTTTGAAACCCATATGCAAATAAGATGGAAAATCTATAAAAATGGATAGATTCCTATAGACATATATGCTGCCTAAGGTGAGTCAAATTAGACTCATAAATAGTCTCCCAATAAAGAAAAGTCACGTTCCTATGGATTCACAGCTGAATTGTATAAGACTTTTTTTTTTGGCTAGTCCTGAGGCTTGAACTCAGGGATTGGGAGCTTTCACGGAGCTTCTTTTTGCTCAAGGCTAGCACTTTACCACTTAAGCAATAGCACCACTTCTGGCTTTTTCTGAATAGTTCATTGGCGATAAGAGTCTCATGGCCTTTCCTGCACAGGCTGGCTTCAAACTGCGATCTCAGGTTTCAGCCTCCCAAATAGCTAGCATTAAAGGCATGAATCACTGGCACCCAGCTTGAATTCTCTGACTTTTAAAGAAGAACAGTATTCCTCAAACTTTTCCATAAAATAGAAATGGAAAGATTACTACTCAAACACATTTTATGAAGCCAGCATTACACTCATTCCCCAAACCAGGGACCCAATACAGACACAAAGCTCTTTAGTAAAATACTTGCTAACAGTTTTCAACAATCAAAAAAATTACTTATTAGGATCAAGTTAGTTTCATCCCAGTGATGCAAGGCTGGCTTAATATATGTAAATCAATAAACAAGACACCACATTATCAGAGCTAAAGACAAGAATCACATAATCATCTCAATAGATGCAGAAAAAGCCTTTGACAAAATCCAACGTTCAGTGGGCAGCAGTAGCTCATGCCTGTAATTCTAGCTACTCAGGAAGCTGAGATCTGAGGATCACGGTTCAAGGCCAGACTGGGCAGGAAAGACTGTTGAGACTCTTACCTCCAATTAACCCCCAGAAAAAGCTGGAAGTGGTACTGTTGCTCAAGTGGTAGAATACTAGCCTTGAACAAAAAAAGAGCTCAGGGACAGCCACCAGGCCCTGAGTTCAAGCACCAAGACAGGAAAAAAAGACAGGCCCTTGATTCAATATTCACAAAGCCAAGTTCTGGAAACAGCCCAGATGTACTACAATGGATGAGTGGATCAAGAAAATGTGGTTACCTGGGCTGGGAAGGTGGCTCAGTGGTAGAGTGCTTGCCTTGCATGCATGAGGCCCTGGGTTCCATTCTTCAGCACCACATAAACAGAAAAAGCCAGAAGTGGTAGAGCGCTAGCCTTGAGCTAAAGAGCTCAGGGACAGTGCCCAGGCCGAGTTCAGGCCCCATGACTGACCAGACCCAAAAAAAAAAAAAAAAAAGTGTTACCTGTACACAATGGAATTTTACTCATCCATTAGAAAGAATGGGATTGTGTCATTTGAAGGGAAATGGATGGACCTGGAACAAATTGTGTTAAGTGAGCCATGTTGACAGAGATAAATGATGCATATTTCATATGTGGAAGCTAGATCTAAAATAGAATTAGGCATGAAGACATATACAGGGCTCAATGCATTTACACACAAACTAAAAAGGGTATTCTCTTAGGGGAGGAAGCTGAAGGCCTAACTGGTCTGAACAGCTAGTTTATCAAAGCAAATATCAGAAGTGAAAACATGTTCTGGGGGATGGGCAAAGGAGGGTACAGGAATGGAGGAAGGCTAAGAAAATGTAGTCATTATATTTAATGTACATCATATAAAACAATGAATTGTGGGCTGGGAAGGTGGCTCAGTGGTAGAGTGCTTGCCTGGCATGCATGAGACCCTGGGTTCGATTCCTCAGCACCACATAAGCAGGAAAAGCTGGAAATGGCGCTATGGCTCAAGTGATAAGAGTGCTAGCCTTGAGCTGAAGAACTGAGGGACAGTGCCCAGGCCCAAAGTTCAAGTCCCACGACCGACCAAAAAGAGACCGGTGCATATCCAAATAAAAACTGATACACTGAATTGAAAAAAATGATGTAAAATGCCGTAACTCCACAGAGGTCTGCCACGCACTCTGCTCTCGTCGCCATGTGGACAGTGGTGCGCTTGGGGCAGAGCTTCCTCCCACAGGCCTTCACACCCCCTGCATGTAGATGCTCTTGAGAGGCTGGGGGAAGTGGAGAGCGGTGATGGGTGGAGGCAAGGACGAATGTGGTGCTACGATGTGCCCCATCTACTCCCCAACCCGTCCTTCCCTTTCCATTCAGCCCCTGCCATGCGGTCAGGTGGTGTGCTGCCTGTGATGCCAACGGCAGGCATGCATGCCCAGCATGGACTCACTCCAGGCCCGAAGGCACCACAGCCACCACAGCCTGGGGCTGGAGGACTGTAGGCAATGTAAGGTGTTTTGAGTAGCATCAGAAAGGACTGTGACAGTGGCAGTGTTTCCTGTTGCCATGTCCCAGCAGAACGGGTGGCACAAGTTAGGACCAGACCTGTCTCTTCGGGCTGTCAGATTTTCCTGCCTAGGAGACTGTCACAGCAGGGGGGGGGGTGCGGTGGGGCGCGGCGCCTCTCTGCCGGGCTGCTGTCTGCTTTCATGGTGACTGCGCTGTGGTAGTGACGCTCCAACTTAGCGCTAGAGCCTAGGTTTCCTTCTCTGCCATCAGCTAGCTGGCTATGACAGAATTGTTTTCCTTCTCTAGGCCTTATTTTCTTGGCACATAAAATGGGGTGTTGGACAATCACCAGACTAGTGACTGTCTTTCTCAAAATATTTAATAAAGGGAACATTTCATAAAAACTCATGAATAGGAGCGCTCTGTGTTGGACAAGTAGGGGCTGGGACAAGTTGGAGTCACTGAGCTAGTTTCTAAGTCCTCTCCAGCCCTCCTGTGTAGGTAGGTGTCTTAGCCTTTCTGAGTCTTAAGACTCAGTCAGGTTATGCCAACTCAGAGGTGTGCAGAGCTAGTGACAGCAACTTTTAAAGCTGCTTGTGGAATCTGGAATACAGACACACATCTGGAGCAGCAGGCCGGAGTGTGGCTCTAGCATTCATGAGGCTCTGGGTTCAAACGCCAGCACCATCACAAAATTTTTCAGCTCATACTAAAAGAACTAAGGCCAGTTTGACATTGCTTCTCATTTATTAATTCAGTCTGTTCTAAATTGTACAGTTACGAAAATAACAAAACCGAAGCTGGAAGCCCAGAAATATTTACACTGTGTGTAGTGAGGTCAGTCTATGTTGTTGCACAGGTTGGCTGTGTTTGGTACCACAAGGTGTTTATAATTCAGACAAATTCAGACAGATAGACAATTCTATGTACAGTAAAACAAAAGGGGAAGTCATTCAAGTATCAAAATATGGAGACAAAGATTAAATAACATTTTTGTTACAGTTCATTGCCATGCCATTAGCAACAACGTTCTCGTGAACTGTGTTGTGCAGGCCTGGGCACCTCAAAAACCGACCAAGTTCAGACTAGTTTCTAATGTCTTGACGACCGCACCTATGCGTGATGCCTGTTCAACCCAAGGCTTCTCAGGGCTCTCCCTAGGCGGGAAGTGCAGCGGTACAGATGCAGAGCTGGGCCTACTGCCCAGGGCAGCGGGCAAGTGGAGAGGATGGGAGGAGACAGGAGAGGCAAGCAGGGAGCCTGCGGCCAACACAGGGACCGAGTGTGTCTTACAGCTCCCACCTGAACAGGCTCCTTCACATTACAGGCATGGCGACCAAGTTTGCCATGCCTGCGTGTCCTGTGCTCAGGGGAAGCGTGAAAGCTGTTCCACTGGACACCTGTCTCGAAAGTTACCACATTCTTTCTAGGGACAGGAGTGATGGCCCCAAGGCGCAGTGAAGGAGGAGGAAGAGAAAGCATAGGACAGGTCCAGTAACTTTCCTTTCTGGAATATTCACAAATAAACCAATCACACAACAAGACCCAGAGCAGATTGACCAAGGCTTTCCAATAATGAAAACACCCTGAATATAAATAAGATATAGCAGCTTCAAGGGAAATAAATGCCTCCAGGCGATTTAAAAGCAGTACAGCTTGAGGAACTCATGGTAGTGTTTACACGTCTCCCTTCAGGCCTGATGCCCTCCAGCAGAGCTGGCCAAGCTGTGCCTGGTCTGAGGGGCAAGGCAGAGGCGCCCAGCAGCAGGGCCATGCATCTTCAGGGGGATTCCTGCACAGTCTAAGCTGTGCCAGGGTGGGAAATGAAGTTTAACTTCCAGGTCCTTTTTAGTACCTAGCCATGAAGGACAGCTGGCCTCTGTTGCAGAGGGGTGCACTCCAGCACTGGCTGTGCTGGGTGCAGAGCAAACAGGAGACCCACAGTTCCTGCTTTCCACTTCTGCCCCTCCACGGTGGGGGGTGTCTGGTGTGCTTCCCTACGCAGGTGCACAGCAGAGTCATGATCTGCAGCCTTTGCTGGGAAGCACGGGTACCCATGCCAGGAATGGGATGAACTGAGGCCTATAAGGTACCTGAGGTGGAGGCAGGGATGGGCAGTGCTCCTCCTCATTGCTCCTCACTCTGGAAGGGCCCGGACAGTGGCTGCCTTGGCTTTGCCTCTCTGCCCTATTGGAAGCAGGCACTCATACTTCTACTCAATTCCAGAAGGAAGACCATCACCCAAGTCACTATGAAAAGCAAAGCAAGCTAACAGAAAGATCTGAGCAGCAGGGCTGGGTCAGGACAACAGCCAGTCACTCCCAAGGCAACAAAAGCAGGGGAGGGGAACCAAATAGACTGTCACGTGATCTAGCCTTTCCCACACCTGCACCAGAGGTATGTCCAGCTGTGGAGAATCAAACCAGTAATCTGGAGAATCCCAATGAGCCCTGTCCACCTACCTCCTCAGATGAGCCATAAATTGATAAGCAGCAATCTTCACTGACCTACCCGGAATGCCCAAAATGAAAACTGCTGCGTCTCTTTTTCGAGCTTGGCTGCCCAGGATGCCCGAGAGCAGGGGGCAGCCAGCCAGGGGGGCAGTCGCTGGCCATCGGCAGTGAGCCGCAGGGAACCTCCTCGCGCCACCCTGACTTCCAGGCACCAGAAACTACAAGCTCATTTCTATTTGGCCACTGGACCTTCTCATGTGGGCCCCAAGAAAGATAATGGGAACCTTTGCTTTGGCCCAGAAGCCTGTAAGGCTGTGTTTTTACCCAGCTCTAAACAGGGATGAAAAGTTAGGTGTGAACAGACTAAGAACTCAACTCTGCCCTGAGCCTGCTCCTTCAACTCATACTGCTCACCCCTACAGCCCTGCTGTGCCAAGATCAAGGAGAGAGGGCTGCACAGACAGCCTTTTTGGCTGCTCTCAGTTCCTCTGTCCTCTGAACCCCTGGCCGTTTGTCTCAAATTGGCAGTTTTACCTAGAGGTTGAGCCAAGTATTAAAATTTCATTTTATAAAAAGGTTTTCTATTAAAAACATTTGTATTCTGAGCAAATCACTTCTTGGCCCTCTGGAGTGTCATGGGCTAGAGGCCTGGAATCGTCTCCGCAGCCGGGGCAGGACTCACTCTGAAAGACCTGGTGGTGCAGGCCCAGGCCAAGCAGCCGAGAGCAGCTCCTATAGGCAGGGGCTGGGCCTGGGTCTTCAGAGCTGCAGGCGAGGTGGTGGTGGTGGGGACGGAGCCTGTGCGCCCCACGTCTGTGTTTCTGCAGCACAGTGCGGTTCCTCAGTGGCTCAGCTTGGCAGAAGCAAACAATGGGGGAGGAAAGGGTTAACCAACAGGCCTACACAAGTGGAGGAAATGGAAAGGACACACAGAAGCAGAACAGAGGTCCCTCACAGCCGCCCCAGGCACCCTCCAAGGCCCACAGCCCACTGCTGCCTCTGGCCCAGTCATCTGCTCGGGAAGACCCAAGGACAGCAAGTGGCAGAAGGACCCACCCTGGCTTATCACCTTGGCTGGTGACTCTAACTTGGTGGCTTTCCTATTGTACACGGCTACATCTGTACCATTTCCTGCGGGAACTGCTTCCTTCCTGTCCCCTGCCATCTAATGTGAGCTGCCCGCATTGGAAAATGCAGGTTTCCTCCATGACTCAGCTCCACGATGCCAGCTGCTGAAGCACTGAGGTGAGGAAGACTGAGAGCTGAGAGAGGGTGCTCAGGGGAAGGCTGGATCACGGCTAGCTTGGGTCCCCACACATGAAGAAGTGTCAGAAAGCTCCCAGAGACAATGGAGGTGGCTTGGTGCAGGGCCCTGTGCTCAGGCAGCTCTGCTCTGAGGGAAGAAGGTGCACATGTGTGCAGGACACAGGCTTCCTTATGCTGGCTCCCACAGGATGTTCTCCTCGGTGAGCTGGACTCCAGAGCTGGGTCTAGGCCCTCCAGACCTGGGCCTCTATGGTACAGTCATGAGCGGTTGACCACAGGCACCCCCCACCCCACTCCTTGGCATGGAGTTGTGTGTTCAGAGGCTCACTGTCCCACTTTGGAGCCAGCATGTGCCCAAGGGCCTGGCCTGTACCTCTGGCCTCCCAGAAAGCACTCTGTCACATCACTGAGCTCAGGGTCTCACCAGGGCCTGACCAGGAGAGCAAGCCAGCCCGAGAGCAGCTGAGGGGAGCAGTGGCTGCAGCCAGCTGTGAACAAGTGCAGGGAATTCTGGCACTGGGTGGTCACAGTGGTTGGTTGTGTCAGGAAGGTGAAGACAGAGAGCTTTTGGCACCCAGCTGTGGCTCAGGACAGAAGAGACAGAGCCACTTCAGAAGGGCCACCAGTGGGGCCGTGTGGCTGGCCGTCCCTCCCCTTAGGCTCACAGGGCCTTCTGCAGAGCTGCCCTGGCACCCACCTCAAAGGCAACTTCCCCCTCAGCTGTCCCCAGCCCAAAGGGAGAATTCACAGTGTTGGGTGGCACTGGGTACGGAGCTGGGAGTGCGGTGTCTAGAGGAGGGCAGGTCCCAGCAGATGGGGGGCCATGGCGGCGGCGGCTGGAAGGAGTTGAGACAGCAGAAAGATCGGGTGGCAAAGGCACAGTGAGACTAGTGGAGACAGGGTGGGCTGTTTAGAAGATAGTGGTCTCATACTTGGTGCTGAGGCTCCGCTTAGAGTCTGGCTTTGGCTCCACAATCCAGGAGACACTGGCATGAGATGGGGCCTCTTGGTCTGTATCAGGTGGTTCCAGCTGCCAAACAAGGAAAAGGAGTGGAAAGTCAGCAGGACTCTGAGTCAGGGGTAAACAGGGCCCAGTGTACTCTTCCCCCAAGCAAGGCTGAAGCCTCAAAGAGCAGGCTCCTAGAAGGTAGAGTGGGAATGTCACCTCACTGGAGCCTTTAAGGGATGGCTACTTCCAGGGACTGCTTCCCACAGGGATTTCTTGGGGCTACTCAGGTACAGGGACCTGGCCCTACTTAAGCTTCTTGGTCTAAACCCCAAGCTGGTCATAACGGTCAGGAAGGGGCTCTGGGGCTTAGTGACCCCAGCCCTCAAGTAGGGCAGAGTTCAGCCCAAGGCAGGAGTGCAACCATCACCCCAGTCCTGTGGGGAGGACACAGAGAAATGGAGAGCAAAGCACACGTGGGGAAAGGCAAGAGGGAATCTCAGGAAGAGAGAGGACAATGTCACGCGGGCAGAGGAAGAGGCCACCACACTCCGAGAAAGCTCACGGTGACTTCAGGTTGACGGACACACAGACAGCATTCAGGGAGACGGACACACAGACAGCAGGAGGTGTAAAGACCTTGACTCCGGGACTAAGAGACGGCAGCGGTAGGTAGGAAGGACGGTGGGTGGTGCAGGTGTGACAGTAACAACAGCGACTATCAGGGGGCAGCGGCACCTGGGGCGCAGAGCAAAGCAGACACAGACACAAGGACGATGTCAATGGGCACTCACACGGCCATCCCCACTAGCCCCATGGTGGCCTTGCCCTGTGTTGGGCCCGGAAGAGGCAGGGAGTTTGGCAGTGCATTGGCAGAGGTCTGCCTACCTCATGCCAGATGAGCTCAGCTCTCCATATGGAGACCTGGCAGATGGTAGGGAGCTAAGGGGCCCACTTCCCTGGGAACAGCTGTGTGCAGGACGGGGGAAGGCCCTGCACTTGTCCAGCTCTGCCCTGAGCCCTGGAGTCCTGGGGAACAGGGAGCCACAGGGGAGGGGGAGGTGTTAGTAACGGCACCACGTACTGCAGACTTCCTCACGCCGACCCGAGGCTTAGGCACCGGTTTGGAAGATTTTGTTTCAATCATCTCAGCTGCAGAGGCCCCCAAGGTCCTGGACTTCTGGGCCTGCAGCGCCAGCTGATAGGCCACCTCGAATGCCTGCCCCAGTGTCAGGATGATCTCGTAGGTCAGGTTCTAGGCGGAAGCAGAGCAGCACCTGAGTATGGGGTTAGGAGCCGCTTCCTCCCTTTGCTCTGATGCCTGCCCTGGCCTCACAGGCAACACAAAACAAATTGGTCTTAAAAACACAAATTTGTTCTAATGCAAGTGGGACTTAGGGAACAATCTGAGCAAAACACATTTTGTATTTCCTTATGCATAATTCTATCTCAAAGAAATCCTGGGTGAAGGTAAAACCTGCAGCCACCTGGGCCAAACTTCATGAGAACACACCAGCCACCTCACATCCTGGGCCCTTTCCCCTCTTCCTCTCCTTGTTCCTGCTTGGCAGGTGGGTGGCTTTGCCTTGCTTCCACCTGTACTGCCCTTTCACACTGACTTGAGCTCTCTTCTCATAGAGAAGAACCTAGGGCTGGGAAGGTGGCTCAGTGGTAGAGTACTTGCTTTGCATGCTCGAGGCCCTGGGTTCGATTCCTTAGCACCACATAGGAAAAAAAAGCCGGAAGTGGTGCTGTGGCTCATGGTAGAGTGCTAGCCTTGAGCTGAAGAGCTGAGGGACAGCGCCCAGGCCCAGAGTTCAGGCCCCACGACCGGACCAAAAAAAAAAAAAAAAAAAGAGAAGGACCTAGCCTCAGTGGGCCCATGGCTGGATAGGTGGATACTTTTGCAAATTGGCCTCTAGCTTTTCCCAAGATAGAATATGTATATTGAGGAACTAAAGATGTTTTGATTAAGTATTATCTTTAGTACAAGGAGCTTTCAACTCAATAATAATTCAATTTATGAGTACTATGTATCTTGATCACTTGGGAGCCTGCATGGAACTGGGTGGTCCTAAGCCCTGGTTGCTACTGCCTTCTCATTTGCTGATACACTCACCACATCCACTGTGCTGAAAACATGGCAGTAGTGGTGGCTGGTCTGCAGGTCCTTGGTAATATAGGCAAAGGTGCACAGATCCTCTGGGTCCTGGGCTGCACAAGAAATGTTCCGGATCTCGTGCTCTGCGATGACATTCTGTTGGGGAAAGCATGTTCTGGAATTCATGGCTCCCTTGAGGTGTGCTCGAGCACTATCACCCCAAGCTTTTACCAGCATAGCACACTAGCTATGAGGGGAAAAAAAAAATTTTTCTCAGTAGGGGTGGAGTTTCCGTTCTTCAAATGACTACCAAGTAGTAGTAAATGTTCACTGCCAACCACGAGCTCTCACCAGCCTTTGCCATCTTCCAGGGTGGGGGTGAAGTGGGAAGAGTGTCAGGAAGGTGGGACCCTGAAGTGGCAGGTCATGGGGAACCTTTTGTTCACTGAGAAACTCACCCTTAAAGGTCTCTGAGCACTGAAGCCAGCGGAACCCACGTTGGGAGTTACTATGGGGACAGGTAGGGAGATGGAAGAAGAGGTGAGACAGGGCTCTGGAGTTGGCTGACTGGAGCCCAGTCTCTCACAGGGAGATGACTGCTATTATGGGTGAGTCCCTGTAAAAAGGGTCATGTAAGCCGGGCACAGGTGGCTTACACCTGTCATCCTAGCTACTCAGGAGGCAGAGATCTGAGGATCATGGTTCAAAGCCAGCCTGGGCAGGGAAGTCTGTGAGACTCTTATCTACAATATACCATTTGAAAACCGGAAGTGGTGCTGTGGCTCAAGTGATAGAGTGCATGCCTTGAGCTGAAGAGCACAGGGACAGTGCCCAAGCTCAGATTTCAAGCCCCATGACGACGACGAACCAAAAAAAAAAAAAAAAAAGATAGATAGATAGATAGGGTCATGTATCAAGGGCTTGATTCCAGCTGGTGGTAATATTGTGAAAAGTCTTAGAAGCTTCAGATGGTAAGGCCTGACTGGAGGAAGTAGGTGTACTTCTGATGGTCACACCTGGTCCCCAGTCCTTCCCTTTCTGCTTCCTGGCTGCCATGGAAAGCCAGGCTCCCCTGCTCCCACCACCAGGAAGTGCTGTGGCTTGGGACCATGGTGACAAGGTTAAGGGACCATGCCCTAAAACCTCTGAAACCATGAGCCAAACATATTCTTCCTCCTTTAAATGGATTCTCTTAGTATTTGGTCACAGCAGTGAAAAGTAACTAATATAGAAAACTGCTACCAGATTCACTGCTGGGATGCAACCTGACCATGTCGTTGTTAAGCCTTTGGAGCGGGTTGGGAGAGGAATGTGGAAAAGTTTGGAAATGTGAGAGGAACTTAATGGTCATTCTGGGGGGCCCCTGGAAGAACAGGATGCTGATGTAAGGACAGTAAAGATGGTGCTCAGGCTTCAGATGGGAATGAGGACTCTAGTGAGAGTTGGCCTCAAGTTCATTCATGTTACATTATAGCAAAGAACTTGGCTCCACTTTGTCCCTGTCCTGAGACTGAGGGAGGTCGAGTTTAAAGGGATGGAATATTTAATCTAGTGGTGGCAATTTCAGAGAAGCTCAGCATTCAGGCTGTGGCCTGTTTACTGACAGCTGCTTTTAGTCAGGGTTACATTAAGAGGGAGAAAAATCAAGGCAGAAATAAATGAAAAACATGTAGTTTTGCTGTAGCTTTACAGAAGACATGGTTTCTGGAAAGAAAATTCATTTGAAAGATTTTCTCTTGAGAAGAAAGTACTTCCGGGCACTCAGCTCCATGAGGGCAACTAGGAATGTGTTTTACTTCATTTCTCAGTCCTGAGCAACCTAGGCATTCAGAGGCCAGGCAGCTGTGGTCTAAGGAGGCCTGGCTACTGCCTGAGGTCATGGAAAACTTGATGCTCGTTTTTCAGGTATGCAGAATGCAAGAGCTATAGGGTCATGGAGGTTTCCACCCAGATTTCAAGGGACAGACTGCAGGCCAGGCAATATATGACAGGGTCAGAGTTCCTGAAGATAGCCCCTGAAAAGGTAATGAAGTTGTGAGGCTGAAACTAAAGGCATATAGAGACCATAGAAAATTAAGGATACCAGGAATGCAAAACTCTTCTGAGAAGATGAAGGCAGCAAACAGAGCCAGTCCAAGAGAAAGGCCATGTGGGTTATAGTCAGCAAAGAGGACATAAGGCTGCTCAAGTCTACTCAAACTCCTGACACAGTCCCTGAATGCCAGCCTTGCCAGCGTTGGAGCTACAGGATTGAGTGTTTGCCCTGCTGGGGTTTTGGTCTTGCTTGTGAGGAAGTCTGACCTTTCATTGCTATTATTCTATTGCTTCCTTTTGGGATGGGATTGCCACTTTATCTTGAGAGTAGGTTAATTTCTGATTTTTTTAATAGGGGCTTAGAGTTAAGAGTTTGCCTTGAGTCTCGCAGGAAGGAGACTTTGAATTTGGACTTCAGAAAAATGTGTTAAGAATACAGGTATTCTTAGAGATGGACAAAATCCATCTGTATTATGAGATGAACATCTTTTGTAGGCCAGTAGAACATCGTGGTTTGGCTATGAAGTGTCCCCACAAAAGGATCATGTCATGGAGCTCTGGTTCCCTGGTGGCGCTATCTGGGGAGGTGCTGGAAACTTAAGAGGTGAGCCTGGCTGGAGGAAGTATGTCAGTGGAGATTTTCTAGTCCCTGTGCCTCCCTGTGTCTCTGTTTCCTGGCCACTCTGAGGTGAACCGCCTCTGCCACATGTTACCACGGCCATGATGTTCAGCCTCCCTACAGACTAAGAAACAAGAGATCATTGACTGAAAGCCACTAAGGACTGTAAGAAGGAATAAATGGGGGCTGGGAAGGTGGCTCAGTGGTAGAGCGCTTGCCTTGCATGCCTGAGACCCTGGGTTCGATTCCTCAGCACCACATAAGCAAAAAAAAAAAAAAAAAAAAAGAAGGAATAAATGCTTCCTCCCTTAAGTTGCTTTTCTCAAGAACTGGGTTAAAGCAGCACAAAAGTCTGACCAGCACCCACCAACGGTCCTCGTGAGAAGCCTACCTTGTTGGAAGCATCGATGAACTTGACACCTTTGTATGTGATGGACAGGATGATAGTGGGAATCTTCTTCATGTGCTCAGTGGATTTCTACAGGAAACAAGGGAGGTCCTGAGAATGCTCCTTCTCCTGATTCACGGCTCCTCCCAGCCTTCTGTGGCATGCAGCATGGCAGGACCAGCTGTGTTTCCATCTCCTGCTCTCTGTCCTAGCCGCCTCCTTCCCCACACACAACCTACCCGCATTTTGGCACAGGCGTCTTGTGTGGACTCTGTCCCTCGCAGATCTTTGATCAGCATGGAGCCTAGGTACTGTGGGAGGAGCAGTGGGCTTAGATACCTGTATTGCCATGCAGGGTGACCAGCCAAAGTGAGCGTCCCCCTATCAGGTGGCTACCTCTCAAAAACTCCTCCTCCTCTAACGCTAGCAGCAGAGCACCTCCCCCACCCCCACATTTTACTTTCTTACGATCACTGTGCATTTTCCAGAGGCCTCTTCCCCTCCCCTCCGCTGCTGGGAATGACTGCAGAGTAGAAGACAGCTTCTGGGATCTGGCCTTAAAGAGGGCCTGAGGGCCTCATGGGACTGGCTGAGAAGGAGCAGGGAGCAGGGAAAGCTGGGAGGGCAGGAACAACTCACATTGGCCTCATAACCACAGGACTCAAAGATGAGTTTCTCTGGTTGGTGTTGCCAGCTCTGCACAGGGGCGTATGGGGCAGCCAGGCTGGGGGGTCGCAGGGTCAGCTTGGCCTCCCGGGGCTCCTCCTGCAGAACACACACAGTTGGACATGGCTCACCTGTTGTAGGGAAGAGCTCACAAGCTCACTGATGGGCTCTACCATACTCAAGTGAGGACACCAGTGACACCAGTAAGGTGAGGGCCAAGTACAAAGGGCAGGGCCCAGATGAGCAACCAGAAGCACTGTGACAGGGGGAGCTGCTATTGACCCGAGAATAAAGCAGAGCAGCAGGGCTGCCAGGAAGGGTCTGTGGTGTCTAGGAGTCTTGGAAATGGGGATAGCCGCCTAACAGGTTGTACATGAGGAAACACAAGCTGTGGGTTGTTCTGCCTGAGTGGCAGGAGCTGGGTCCCTGAACTGGGGAGCACCATGGTGAAGACACACTTAGCTGCTGGAAGCAGCCGGGGGCAGTGTCACGTCTGTGCAGGCGAGAGCGACGGGTGCACAAGCAGGGTCCCAGCATAAGAGATGGAGAGGAGGGAAAGATTGAGAAACATTTTAGATTTCTATTCCCAGCAACATGCAGCCTCCATACAGAACAACTGAAACCGCTAGACACTATTTTCTACTCTAAAAACCGATGGCTGTGCTGTGGGGAAAGAAAGGAGACTAAACTTGGACTTCAAAATGGTGCCAACCCTGTCCTGGTGAGGCACCTTGCCGCATGTCCAGCTGTGCCCACCATGGGCCTCTGAAAGGCAGCAGAGGAGCAGACTAAGACCTGGCAGGTGGGATGGGAGAATGCTGGGCTGAAGAGGTTGCAGAGGAAGCTCTGGGGACCAAGCAGGGTGAGAGTAAAGGGGACAGGGTATGTATGTGTGTGTGTCTAGGATGGGGGTATGTAGACCAGCAGTCATGTGTGTGTGTGTGTGTGTAGGATGGGGGTAGGTAGACCAGCAGTCATATGTGTGTGTGTGTGTGTGTGTGTGTGTGTGTGTGTGTAGGATGGGGGTATGTAGACCAGCAGTCAATGGCAGATCACTGTATGTCTCTGGGGCCCATAAACAACATAAAGCCTCTCCTGAGAAAACCCTGTGCCCACCTGTGGGGCTGGGTAGTGGGAGGCAGGCAGTTACAGAGAGCCGTGTAGGTGAACCTGGGAGGGAGGGAGTCTGGGAGGCCCCTGGGACCTCACACAGTGCACTGGGCAGGAAGTCAGCGGAGCAGGCTGACATCTCCTCCCAACCCTGATGCCAGCCCAACAGGGTGCTGGAAGGCCCTGGCCTGCCTGCCCACCTGGACTCGGCAGCGTTCTCGAGAGGATGCTGTGGGGTCATGTAGACTGTCATGCCGCCTCCAGCCTGTGTCCCCTGGAGGCAGCAGCAGGTCTGCTGACCGCCCGGCGCAGGAATCATTCTGGCTCAGTGGGGAGGATGTCTGGGAGATTAAATCTTGGCACTGAAAGGAGAGAAACCATGAAGTTCACACCACCATCCTAGCCTCGGATTGGAGGTATCGGCTGGTCCTGGGGACACACTGGAAATGGCTAGGGGCTGCAGAGTCAGGGGGACAGAAGAAGCAAGGATCTAGGGGTCAACAGCAACTAAGGTGATATCAAATGCCCTACCAGCCAGAAACCTGCAGTGAAGGCTGGGACGGGGCCCTGCCCACCTGGTGCAAGAAGGAAGCCTCTCTAGAGCTGCAAAGCCTTGAAGACCCTGTCCTGTGGGGACCTTGAACAGCCATAGGCTAAAAGACTCTTGGGAGAAGAGCCACACCCACAATGATCAGATAGGAAATTATCTGTGGTGATCCACCATTGATCTCTGTGTACTGAGCAGCACTGGCAGCCACAGCCTCCATGAAAGGATGCCACAATGTTAAGATCTAAGCTGTTGTCTGGCTCTTGGCTTAGGGCTGGCTTCAGCCTCCTCATGCATAAAGCCGAAGAAACAGTGCCCACTTTCTGAGGTGCAGATCCAGTCTCCTGGGCAGGGTTGTATGTTATCTACCATTACAATACAGTCCTATCTGGCAGATTCCATGAAGCCCAACCTAATCCAAGCCCAACCCATCCCTTGGCTTGAACAATGTGTCATCTGTGAGGTTCTGAAAGTGTAGGTTTCTCCCAATCCTATCCCTGGAGGTACAAATCCCAGGGCTTGGGCCAGTAGGTGATGTCTTGTCAGAACCCTCAGCTTTGTCTTGAGCTCCTGAGCTGCTGGGTACAGAGCTGAATCTAACCCCTTGATGTGGTCCCAGTCATTCCTGAGACTATTTTATTTATTCCTGTATTTAAACTGATTTTTTTTGGGGGGTGGGGGTCGGTTGTAGGGCTTGAACTCTGAGCCTGGGTGCTTTTAGCTCTTCAACTCAAGGCTAGTACTCTACCACTTGAACCACAGTGCCACTTCCAGTTTTCTGGTGCTTTATTGGAGATAAGAGTCTCATGGACTTTCCTGCCCGGGATGGCTTTGAACCATGATCCTCAGCTCTCAACCTCCTTGGTAACTAGGATTACAGGCGTGAGCCACTGGCACCTGGTTTAAATTGATCTTTGATCACAGGCCATCTCAAACACGTTGGGATATAATTAATAATTAATAAATAACCAGTGTCCATGCATTTGTTTTGAGCTCAGTGAGAGAGGGCAGGAATACCACCTTCTCTACAGAGGTCACATTGTCTCTGAGGAATTCCTAAAAATACAAAGCATGAGCATGTATGCTTTTCCTCCCCTCACTCACTCTCAGCTGGGAGAATCTCGGAGGCTTCTGGGGCGGCTCCTCGTAGGGTCTCTCAGCCAGGGAGGCGATGATGCGCTTGCGGTGGCCCAGCAGGTGGACCTTCAGGACCTGGCAGTGAGTGGGAGGAAGGCAGTCAGAGGTGACAGGACCCTTAGTTCCCTGCTCTCCACCTTCCCCCAGCCCTGCCTCCCACCATGGCTGTGTGGTCACCAAAGGAGGCATGCCTCAAGAGGGGTGTGCTGGCACTTACATTGACAAGCTCCAGCTCCCAGAGGTTCTTCACAGTGTCAATGGAGCTGTAGCCACTGGCCAGGAATGAGTGGATGTAGTCCTGCAGCCCCAGGGAGTCCAGCCAGGAGGTCACTGATGGGGGACTGTTTCCATCATAGCCTAGGGCCTTCACCTGCAGACCAAGAGGAAGCAAACACATCTTAGACTCACAGGATGAGAACTGATGACCTAGGGGAGAACAAGGAAACCCCTTAGCACCTCAGCAACTTTTCCCTGGCACAGCCCTTTCTATCACCGTTCTGGGAGGTGGGAGCCACTAGATCTGGGGAAGACAGCTTTGCAGGTGAGGTGAGATGGAGGAGAGTGTGTAGAATACCTCCACCTGGGCTCTGAAGGGAGTCATACACCTACAGGGACAACACAGTGGTGTGTGCTGTGGAGGGAAGAACCAGGGAAACATGGGGATTACCACTAGGCCTGGGCCTAATAGCTCCTGTACCATGGGGAGACAGTGCTGTCTCTGCTGCCAACTCCTCCAAGGCCTCTTGGGGGTCAGGATGAGCCGGCCTGGGCTCCAGTGACACACCAAGCCTGTGGTACCAGGCTCCTGTACTGGGAACACCCATAGAAGCTCCCCTGTCAGCCTGACAGGGTATCCATGGTCCCTTGATCTCTGCCATTTTCTAGGCCTGCAACTTTGTGAGGAAAGGAACAGGGCTATGAGCCCTACTGGGCTTGAAGGAGGGCAGATGCTACCTGGTGAGATCTACATGTACCACAGCCAAGCTTGTCCTGGTTCTTGGTTTAGGGGTATCAGGGAGATGGCACTGGCCCTGGCCTGGGCTGAGGCTGCAGGCTGTGGGTAGTCACCTTGGGCAGGGAGCGGGCAGCCTGCAGCAACTTCCGTCGGTGCTGTGCATCACTGATGCCAATCTCCCTCAGGTCCTGCTCTTCCATCACATTAGACCCCTGAGCACAGAAAGGAAGATGTTAGGGTGTTTTGAACTGATGGCTGGCCAGGTCAGCCTTTCATAGCCCAATGCCAGAACCAAGAGGGAGAGAGACTGGGGTTCTTAGGCAGGAGGACAGTGTAAGCTGTATTGGGATGAGAGTCTAACCCAGGTCAGCTCCCTGGGCAGCCAATTATCCTGAGGGTTTCCAGGAACCCTGCTACCAGCTACTTTGTTAGCATCCCAAAGGACATTCTAAGATCTTTAGGATTGTATGCCAGGAAAAGCAGATCATATACACACCAGGGCAGGGTATAGAAAGGACAGCCACCACCCCAGGCAATTTCCTGCCATTCCCAGAACCAACACTGAGGCTAAGTGATCATGCCTAGGGATGTGCGCCTAGATAGGCAGGAGAGGGCACATCTGTTTCCCATCCTGGCCCAGGCCCTAGGAAAACCATTGGGAGAGATGACAGGGCTCTCTGTTGGTCACCCCAAATCTTATTAAGGACAAGAAAGGGAAAAGCAGCATCTCCAGCTTGTGTACACCCACCCATCCAGGGGGGTCAGGGCTTTCTCCAGGCCAGCAGCTTCCAAAGGCAGCTGTGGCCCCGAGGCTAAAGGACTAGTTCCCCATATGAGTGAAGCCATGTCAGGGCTCTCACAGGGTTAAACAGTAGATTGCCTGGGCCTGGGAACTGACCCCTGACAGGGACCAGGTGCACTATGACTTGTCTTACATGCATCTGCCCACCATTGCCTGGCTGAGCTGACCTTGCCTCCTCTGGGACTGACAATGCTTCCAAGATGGCCCACATAAACACTGCCTCCCTCAACCTAGCTGGTGACAGGAGGTACTCACATTTTCCTGCTTTCCTGACCATCCTGAACCCCACTCAGACCTTGTCTCCCTTCAAGGGAGAGGCTGTCCTGGTAAAAGCCATTGGGAAGAAGCACAACCTATCTCAGTCCTAGTTCCTGAAGCCTCCTGATGGCTCCTGGCCGTGGCCTTTAGGAGTTGCTCTCTGGGAGGTGCACAGGGCTGGAGGAGCAATCTTCCCAGTTAAAGGGAAACACTTCTCACCCTTGTCATCTCTCCCAAGCACAATGTGAGTCTCCCTGTTTCCTCTGTGGACCAATGTGACATTCATCTCATCTGCCTGCTGTCTTCCTGGAATACCTTTCTTTTTTTAAGTCTTGGCTGAGTTCGAGGTGCCATATTTACCCCTTAATCAGCAGTAGTTGCTGGTCCTGAGTCAGTCTGGAGTCAAGAGGGGTTGGCCTTTGCCGGGTGCGGGTGGCTCACGCCTGTAATCCTAGCTACTCAGGAGGCTGAGATCTGAGGATTGCAGTTCAAAGTCAGCCCAGGCAACAAAGTAAGTGAGATTCTTATCTCCAATAAACCACCAGAAAACCAGAAGTGGCGCTGTGGCTCAAGTTGTAGAGTGCTAGTCTTGAGCTGAAGAGCTGAGGGACAGCGCCCAAGGCCAGAGTTCAAGCCCCACAGCCAACAACAACAAAAAGGTGTGTGTGTGGGGTTTGGCCTCAAGCTGTTCACACTCCATGTCAATGTGTGGTTTTAAGCTCTGCTGCTGTGTCACATTCTGAGCTTATGCCATGAAGGAAGGACCCTGAATGGAATCTGCATCAGAAGACACACGAGAAAAGAGGAACCAGCCTCAAGTTCTAGGGAAGGACTTGGAGAAGTCAGCTCTCCTGGGTTCCTCACCTCTAGGAAGAATGGTGAGTTTCCTCTTGCACTTTCCCCATCCACTTTATACAACCTGTGCAAATAGGTGGCAAGAGCAACTGCCACCACAGGCCAGGATACCAGGAAGGACACCTCCATTACCATTCACAACCAGTAGAAGCCATGAAAGAGGGAGTGGCTGCTAGTACAATTTCATATTAAAGAATAGCCAGGGCTGGGAAGGTGGCTCAGTGGTAGAGCGCTTGCCTTG